CCCCGTAAAAATATTTTAAACTGACAAAAAAATGCTTTTGAGTGTATTCAGGATTCTTCCTTCAAGTATATTCAGGACTCTTCTCTCAGTCTGTTATGGGACTCTTATGGACACATATCAGGAAGTTGTCCATTGAGTTGAGGAAAGGGTGTCAAAAATCATAGCTGAAGTCCAAAATACTCCCTTTCCAAACTTTCACAAATAGGTTCATCTGGGTACCTTTGTATTTGCAGTTACAAGAAAATAATGCAATACATTGAAAGGAAAAGGCAAATTAATGATCAACCGAAGGATGAACTTCGTAGGCATGAATTTTAAGAAATACTTTTCTTTCTGGAAGACAAAAGGTGTCTCCAGGCTTCAACTGCTGTCATGCAGATATGGTACAAGAAGCACAGCTGCAATTCATGCTATTGTCAGTGTGAAAGCCTATAGCCTCTCAGCATGCATGGCTGCCAAGCCATTCCCCAGTCTGCTCACCTAAACTTTCATCTGTCCTGGCCAAAGCAAAATTGTTCAGGAGTCAGCTGTCAGAGACATGAAGGAGGGTTCAGAACTTTCCTGTGTCCATTGTACAGCTCTCATAGAGGACAACAGTTGTGGCTTGCTGGGAATCTTTCTCATATCCTAAAATGAACTAGGTGCCAAATTATTTTCCTCCTTTGGACAAACACATTTCTGTTAACGTTAATGAGATTTATGTGAGCATATGAGGACAGAAGAGCTCAATAAGTATTCCTTACCCATCATGATGACCCATGTACTGATTTAAGAGTGTATAATTATATTTATCTCTGGAATTTAATATAAAGTGCTCTGTGGCAGCAAAAGTAATAGTTTTCTCTTTGAAAAAGAGGAGGATGTTGAAAGATCATTGTGATGGAAAATAATATGGTATTGTGATACAACTAAAGGTGATGAAGTGTTTGCTACAATTATCAGTCAAAAGAATGCCTTAAAAGTAAGATTTGTTTTACAAGTGTTGATGCTGAAAGGAGACCTAGACTGAAAAGTACTCATAATTCATGAATTCCTTAACAAGATTTTCCAGACCATTTGACATATTTATACTACTATCTATTTTTGCCAATTGTGTGGCCTTAGCTGTTTACATCCCATTCCCAGAAGATGACTCTAATTCAACTAATCATAATTTGGTAAGTACTCAAGTTTTTATTTTATGTTTGTTTACTATACTTCTCAGTTGATGGTCATGATTAGCTGCTAGTATTTGAGACTGTATTAAGCATAAATAACTTCACTAAAAAATAGAATTGGTATATAGTGATACTTTAAAATGCATATGGAATTGCTGTATTTTCAGTTTTAATATGTGTTCCCTTATGTCATGCATTTAAAATAAGATTTTTCAGCAGTGATATTATTTGGAGGGGAATGCACATTAATATTACGCTGCGTGTCTACGTATGTTTGTGTTGTATAAAAAACTGTAATTTGAATTTATGTCACTTATATTGATTAAATACATTCACTAGCTGTTACTGTGCTTCTGACACTTGTTTCAGTCCTTCTGAAGTTTTATTGCCTTTCCTAGTATACTTGTCTAGTCTGTTTTCAGTTTTTAATGGTCTTATTTAGCTGTATGTTTTACTAGATATTCTAGTTTTTAATGAGAGGATGGTGGGAAATTTTTCATTAATACATTTTTAAAGTGATAGGAACATCAATGTGAATTTTAAAAGCAGTCACTGCACAGGTATAAGTGACCTTTCAGAAAGGGATGATGCTGCAGTAAGTAGTGTATAGAGATATATTTCTTTGATTGAAAATAGTGTACTAGTGTGCTTGAAAATATATAATGAAAACTAATTTTGTTTTAATTTTCTATTTTATTAAAACTCATAAAGGCTCTCACACTCAAGGATAATATTGAATTACATTGCAATAATTTCATTGTTTATACTAAATACCATGTTGAGATAGTGGGGGTCAGCAGTCCTGAGTATTCAAAATCTGCATGTGACTTCATTTTGCGGGGGAGGGGAGGTTTGTTTGAGAAATAAAGAATTGGATACCAGTAAGTAGGTAATTTTTGATTATTTTACATGGAAAATTTAGGGTGATACAAGGTCTTCTATTTATGAACGTGTTTGTGTAATTTGTGGTGTCTTAACTTGTTTATTTTCCAAAAAATAATTATTCTGTGCATATGACCCATTTTATGTGTGTGGCTTTTTTATATTTTGTTTATCAAGATTAAGCAAATATGGACAAAAACAAAAATGCTGGCAAAAGGCAGAATAATTCAGGTCAATGTAAAGAACGATTTATGCAGCTGTGTATCTAGCCAACCGATCTTTCTTCTTCCCCTGCCCCAAGAAATTCAGGGCACAAATCTCCATAGCTGTCAATCCACCAGGAGATCTACTAATAACTAATTTCATAAAGCATTACATGAAAAGGGTAGAGCAGTTACTTGTGTCAAGAGGCTAATAATTTTGAAAGAAACGTTTTTAGCATTAGTTCTGTTAGGCTAACGTCTGGTATTTCTGACCTAATTCTACACTGCTCTAGTATTTAGAAAGAAATAGACATTTTATCCCTGATGTTTTTTCTTTTTATCTGGTGTGGCCATGTTAGTCTAAGCAAAAACATGTTACATTTTTTTTTAGTAAGACATCCTTATCTCTTAAGTAGAAAGGGTCTTGAACACCCCCAATTATATGTATATAAAGTTTACTTGGACATTTAAATTCTCTCACATTCCCATTTACATTTGCATCCTGTTTATACTGATGTTGAGTAATTCCACTAAGTTTGCTCCAAGAACAGAATTTATCCTGACAACATGCTTTCAGGTGCTGGGACAGACTTAAGCCTGGTAAGGGAACACACAGGCACATCCTGTTTACCTGATCTAATAAAAATAAAGAGTTCTGGAATGAGCAGCATTGGCTTTTCTTACGACTAAGGTTCTACATAATGAAGTACACTAACCAGTGATTTCATGTATCTTCCTCTGGTATTTCACTGATATTTTTCCTAGTGTAGACCCATTTCCTTTGAACTCTTGGTGTGGTTTCAAGCGTAATGTGAGGGAATATCATGAAGAGCTGCGTTAGAAATCTTCAGGCTTGCTTGGGAACCTGCTTGAGCGTGCATTTCCTGATGCTTGAGATGAATGTATAGATATATATTTGAGAGAGGGCTGCCAGTTGCCTTATAGTGGAAGTAGAGATTATTCTGTTGAATAATGTTCAGTCCTTTTGTAATACTGGTCTAAAAACCAGATCAAATCTCAAAAATAAATATTAAATCTTACGAATAGGCTTGGTAGCATTTTAGCCCCTGCCTGCGGACATGTTTGTCTTCCATGAGCCCTACACTGCCAGTTTGATCTTGCTAGGGGACTGTACCCCGCTCTGGCTTTAATTCAAAAGCTGAGGAGAATAAGATAATGTCCTCTTTCCTTTCAGCCCAGGTGTTTGGTCCTATCAACCCACAGCCTCTTCTCCCCACTTTCCTCTCTCTGGACACAGGCACCCATTGCCACTGTATAGATTGCAGCACTGGTACCATTTGGTGCCTTGGTGGGGAGAGACCAGAGTGAGTAACATGGTCTGCCTCTAGTGCCTTCAGTTGCTCATTATGTAAACCCCCAGAAGTTCAGCTTTATAAATTTCAGTTTGCATATGGATATTCTATCTGGGGCTTGGTTCTTAGGGAGTAAATCAATGTTGCTTCATGGAGTTGAGTAGATTAATAGATTTCCATCAGCTAGCTGACTGGCTCATATTTTTTTAATTTGTAAACAGAAAAATTAAATATTTATGCATATAGATTTTTTTCCTAATACAAAATATACATAATTTGTAATCAGCCGTGGAAAGAGGAAGCAATAGTACAAGGGGGCAAAAACCAGTGGAACACTGGTAAGTGGGAACTAGAAATGGAAACTTTTCCAGTTTTGCTTGGGATAGGGAGAAGACTGCATATATGAGAAGTTGAACAGTCCAAGTGTTCTGCAATGGCAAACTCGATCCAAGGGTGGACATGCAGAACAGGTATTCATTCCCCTTTGTGATGGGATGTTAGAAGACAGCTTCTGTATGATGGAATTTCCAAGATTTGTAAGAGAAATCTGAGATACGATTTTGGTCTGTCTTCATCTGTGACTGAGCCAGTGAAACACTGACCAAATGTCAACCACCTAACTGCTGGTTGAGCTGTGAGTGAGCCCTGTTCTCAATTTCTCATGAATGTTTCAATATGTGGTGTCTAATCAACACAGAGTCAGTTATACATTGCAGTAGTAATGGCAAAAGAAATTTTAGCACAAATTAACCAAAAATATAACAGACCTTTTAAGAAAAAGGTTTTTGTCTTAAGAGAAATAGTAAATCAAATGTATGCATACTTTATGTGTGTTTTAAAAAACAGATGTATCTTGGGTACCTGTTAGGCTTGCATCTGAGTCAGTTTTTAATCATAAATATCTTAAGGTAGATGTCTGTGAGAAGGTTCCACACCCTTGTTTTTGGAACAGGAGACTGTTAGAGAAAATTGACAGTGCAAGAGAAGCGTAAGGATGGGACAATTGTGTGTTTCTGTGTTGGTCACCCATCTTTGCTGAGATGCAAGTTATGATTATTGAAGTGTTTGTGATAGAGCCAGCAGCATACTATGAGATATGAGATACTTATGATAACTTCAGGAAACAAGAAGGGGGTTCTTCATGATATCAGTGACTAAATTAAGCAGATGGTAATCATGGATGTTGTAGGATAGGAATCCTTAATTATTGTTTTTTTTAATCTGTCTCTTTATCTCCTCAATAGACAAGCTTAGATTTCTGTTTTGTCTTTTTGCTGTTCTCTGAGAGTAGAGGGTGCACTACAGCTGTCTTGCACGGTGGATTCATGGTCATCCTTATTTTATCTCAAGAATAATGTGTTAGTACTGGGTGATACAAAACAATGCATTTCAAACAAAGCAGAAACGCAGAGTTAAATTCAGACCGGACTGTGCTTGACCACTTGCCAGTGTTGCAGTCTTGTGTCCTGTGGGACCGTTTATCTAATCCTTTGTCTGAAATACCTTGACGTGTGTCTCTGGTGTGTGCTGGGAGAGGCAGGAGGAAGGGATCTTCTCTTCTATACTTTGAACAGAGCAGCTGCTCTTGTGTATTTCTGTACTGCGTAGAGTGCAATACAGACTAATGAACTTTGAAACAGTTACTGAACTTAATCCTGAATTCTACTTAATAATTAGTCCCTAATCGGTTAACATTCTTTCACAAGTGGGCCCAGTTCTTCTGCAAGTAGATGGGTGAAACTATTATTGAAGCAAAGAAGTTTTTTTCCTCTTAGAGCACAATGTGACCAGTGTACTGTAGGATGAAATCCTCATAAGCTCACTACTTTGTTCATGTATTAATGTAGTTTCTTTCATTTGCCTTCAGAAGTTTCAGGTGATCTGAACTTTCCATGCTTGATTCAGCAATTCTTTTGGCAGTGCTTCTTGTCTGAGCTTGATAAGAAGCAGCTTCTGGCAGGATGGGTTTCCTGTATATGTCTATTTTCTGTTTTTGTCTTTTTAATTTTTTTCCCCCCATCTTATGTTATTTCCCTTCATGTCTTTAATCTTTGTTAACTTCACACTCACTTCTTCCTTTCTTGTTGTCTTTTGTCTCTGCCCTCTGGCTTCCCTCTGTGTTTACCCTTCTGTTTGTCCTCTTCCACAGCATGCTTTGCTCTATCTCACTTTCCCACCTCAATTTTTTTCTTTTATCGCCCTGCTGTCCCATGTTCGGTTCTCCTGTGCTTTGCCTCCTACTGACTTCCCCATTGTTCTGACTAGCATTGGGCTTCTTTACAATGTGCAGGCAGACTGGCACAGTAGAAGTCTGGATTTTGGCTGCGATCAAGGCATTTTTGGTTATTCTTTTTCTTTCCTTTTTTTTTTTTAAATAAGTAAATGTGAACAATAAGAAGGCATCCACACTGAGTCTATGAAAACTAGACCCCTGAAGTTTGAGTGATCTGCTTTGGGTGTACTGCATTTTTTGTGACTAGACCCTGAAGGTTTCCACTGGTGAGACTCTTCTACTTGAGATGACAGCGTGTGCATTTTGAGAGACTTACTTGCATAAATTACAGAAAATTGGCAAGTGCAAGGTCACCTGAGTAAAGGGCTT